TTTTTTTTTAATATTTATTTTTCAGTTCTCGGCGGATACAACATCTTTGTTTGTATGTGGTGCTGAGGATCAAACCCGGGCTGCACGCATGCCAGGCGAGCGCGCTACCGCTTGAGCCACATCCCCAGCCCAATAATTTTTAAAATATATATACATATTTGGTTGTCAATGAACCTTTATTTTATTTACTTATTTATATGTGGTACTGAGAATCGAACCCAGTGCCAAACATATGTCAGATAAGCACTTTACCACTGAGCCACAACCCCAGCCCCTCATTTTTAATAACTTTATTTTATTTATTTATTTACTTATTTTTGTGCCGTGCTATGAATCAAACCCAGTGCCTTACACATGCTAAGCAAGCATTCTATAATCCCAGCCCCACCTTTCATAATTTTTTTAAAAAAATTCAGTCTAGGGTTGGGGTTGTGGCTCAGTGGTAGAGCACTTGCCTAGTATTATGAGGCACTAGGTTCAATTCTAAACAACACATATAAAAAATGAATAAAATACAGGTGCAACAACTAAAACAAATATTCAAAAAATTATTTTAAAAAATTCAATCTAGTGAGAAAAAATGTTTACTGTAGAAAATTTGCAAATTACTCAAAAGTTTAAGAAGAAAATAAATATTCAACTGCAATGTCATCTCCCAGGAAAAATATAATCTAAGCTGATGCTTTTCCCTAAAATCTTTTTTTATTTTTTATTTTTGCACTAGAAATTGAACCCACTGGGGCTCTACCACTGAACTATATTCCCAGCCCTTTTTATTTTTTATTTTGAAATAGGGCCTTGCTAAATTGCTTAGGGTTTCACTAAGTTGCCGAGGCCAGACTTGAACTTGGGATCCTCTTGCCTCAGCCTCCCGAGTCACTGGGATTACAGTTGTGTGCCACCATGCCAAGTTCAAGTCTTTTACTCTTATGCACATACATTTGTTTAAAAAAAAAATAGTACATAGCCAGGTGTGGTGGCACATGCTTGCAATCCCACCAACTCAGGAAGCTGAAGCAAGAGGATCACAAATTCAAGGCTGGCCTCAGAAACTTAGACCTGTCTCAAAAAATAAAAAGGGCTGGGAATGTAGTTCAGTAGAAAAGCACCCCTGGGCTCAATCCCTAGTACCCCCCTGCCACACACACACAAAAGTTCATAAAGTAGTCACTAAGTACACAAAAAGGGAGAATTCTAAAAATTCATTTGGAGGCAACATGAAATAAAATTTATAGAAGGAAAACAATGGGTCTGGCTGCTTGTTGGCACACTTCTGCAATCCTAGCTTCTCAGGAGGCTGAGGCAGGAGAATTGTAAGTTCAAAGTCAACTCAGCAACTTAGCAAGACCCTGTTTCAAAATAAAAAATTAAAAATGCTGGGGCTGTAGCTCAGTGGCAAAGTCTCATGCCTGGCATGCTTGAGATCCTGGGTTCAATCCCTGGTTCCTCAAAAAATAAAGAAACACAGGGAATTGAAAATGTAACTCAGTAGTACTCAGTGATACTCATGCTTAGCATGACTGAGGCCCTGTGTTCTAACCCAAACACCACACACAAAAAGAAAAAAAAAAAAAGCTACGCTGTATACCCTTATTTCTAAATTTCTTTTTACATACTTAGTATAGCACAAATATTTTATCCTTGTACACGATTTTTCTAAGAAATATTTGTTTAGTCTATCTTCATCATCAAACATTTAGTTTGTTTCCGATTCCAGAACAATGTTTTGCAAATGAAGGAAATAATAGTCCTTTGGGGCAGAATTTAGAATAACAGAGAAAAAGTCCCTGTAGCCATCTCTTCCCCCTTCCTGACCCCATCCGGCAGGGTCTCTGCCCAGGCTTCCAGCATTGCCAGGGCGCATAGCCAACTGGCCTCTAACTCTGGCCTTCTCCAAGGCAGAGGCTCTGCTGATCTGGCTCTGGGATCATTTTCCATCACAAAGTATAATCTGATCCATGAGTAGTTCTGGTGCCCCCTCCCTGCCCTTCCGCCCATCCACAGTCTTTCAGTTCCCCAAATTCAGGGTCCTTAGGACTCTGGTGGCCCAGACACGAGTACAACATTCTCATACAAGGGCTCCTCCTGCCCTTCCTCTTCTGCCTGCTTTTGGAGATCTTGTTCTGGGGGGCTGTTCCCAATGACTGGCTCCTGGGCCCTCCCTGAGCTCTCAATGCCATCCCCTACCCCTCTCGACACTTCCTCTGATCTAACTCCTATAGACTCCATGGTACAACTGAGTTTGGCATTGGGAGCTAAGCCAAAGCTCTGACTGGCAGAGCCAGAGGACAGCCCAGGGTTGCCCTTGTTCTGACCCCGGGCCCGGCGTGGTGGCTTAGCAATAACACCAGGCCTC